AAAAAAAAAAAAATAGAAAAACTTAGCCAAGCAACTAAAAATAGAAACAAAAAATTAGCCAGGCACAATGGTACGTGCCTGCAGTCCCAGCTACTTGGGAACGCTCAAACCCAGGAGTCTGAGGTTGCAGTAAGATATGATGAATTCAGTAAACCATGCTGTAAACAGATGTGCTGTCATCCAGGCTTTGATGTTCCACTGATAGAGCACAGGCAGAGTAGATTTAGCATAATTCTGAAGGGCCCTAAGATTTTCAGGATGCTAAATGAGCATTGGCTTCAACTTAAGGTCACTAACTGCATTAGCCTCTAACAAGAAAATCAGCACGTCCTTTGAAGTTCTGAAGCCAGGCTTCTCTCTAGGTACCAAAGTCCTAGATGGCACCTTCTTCCAATATAAGGCTGTTTCATTTACACCGAAAATCTGTTGTTTGGTGCAGCCACCTTCATCAAGGATCTTACCTAGATCTTCTGAATAACTTGCCACAACTTCTACATCAGCACTTGCTGCTTCGCCTTGCACTTTTATGTTATGGAGATGGCTTCTTTCGTCTCATTAACCAGCCCCTGCTAGCTTCACACTTTTCTTCTCCAGCTTCCTCACCTCTCTCGGCCTTCACGGAATTAAAGAGAGTTATGGTCTTGCTCTGGATTAGGTTTTGTCTTAAGGGAATGCTGTAGCCAGTTTGATCTTCTATCCAGATCACTAAACTTTCTCCATACCAGCAATAAGGCTATTTCGCTTTATCATTCATGTGTTCACTGGAGTAGCACTTTTTTGTTTGTTTGTTTTTAAAGAAAGTAGGTCTTGCTATGTTGTCCAGGCTGGATTTAAACCAGTGGACTCAAGGGATCCGCCTGTCCTGCCTCCCTAGTAGTTAGGACTATAGGCGCTCACCTTTGCACCCAGCTTGGAGTAACACTTCCAATTTTATTCAAGAACTTTTTCTTTGCATTCACAACTTGGCTAACTGTTTGGGATAAGAGAAATAGCTTTCGGCCTCGCTCAGCTTTCCACACACCTTCCTCACTAAGCTTAATCATTTCTATCTTTTGATTTAAAGTGAGAGACATGAGACTCTTCATTTCACTTAAAAACTGAGAGGCCACTGTAGGGTTATTCATTGGCTCAATTTCAATACTGTTGTGTCTCAGGGAACAGGGAGGCCAAAGGACAGGGAAAGAGATGGGGAACAGCCAGTCAGAATAGTCGAACACATACGTTCATTGACGAAGTTCACAGTCTTATGTTGGAGTAGTTTGTGGCACTCCAAAACAATTACAACATTAACATCAGGGATCGCTGATCACCATGACAGATATAATAATAAAGTTTGAAACAGTGTAAAAATTACCAAAATGTGACACAGACACACAAAGTGAGTACATGCTGTTGGAGATGGCACGGAGAGACTTGCTTGACACAGGATTGCCACAAAGCTTCAATCTGTATAAAACACAATAAAATGAAGTGTGCCTGTACGCCCATACACACCCTCTCAGTACATGATGGAAACAGCATAAGCAAAAGAAAGAATTTTTAAATGTACATATAGCAATAGCCTCCCTATATACAAACAGTAGTACTTTACCAGAGTAATAAATCTTTTTTTTTTTTTTTT